TAGCGGTTGAGTGGAATTAGTACTCTGCGGGGAGTTACTTAAATTTATCTGATAAACTAAATCTATGAAAATCTAAAAAGAAAGGTGGGCATATTTCTTATGATGAAATACTGCTTCCGCTTGCTATATTTTTTTTATTTGATTTATTATTATCTATTGTTATTATTTCAACTGATAACATTCCTTTTATACTTAGTAAATGTTACTTGTTATTCTGTTACTACACATTATTCATAAATTGTGAGTATTATTATCGGGGTGGGTATTTTTGGATTGTAGTATCTTATTAAGTTCGTCGTTCACTGGCATTCCCGTTGCCCTGACGTTTTATGCCAGGTACTGAAGAAACCAAAGGAAACACCGAGATCTTGCAAGGCGACACTCAGCCTTGGTTAACTTGAAGAATGCCCAAGATCCATGAACCATTTTTCTAAGTTTCTAGTTGTTTTTTTTTTGTTGTTGTTATATTCATGTTGTTTTTATGTACTAAGACTAAGTTTTAAGTTTTTATTGGAGTTGTAATTTAAGAACTTTTAATTTATGAGTTGTTAATTAATGCTAGCAATATTGGTGACAGCTTTGATGAGGGGTTAGTTATTAACAAAATTGATTTTTAGTTTTAAATCTTATTATGATGTTCTCAAATCTTGGGGCGTCACAAACACAACCACCATTGTCGGCTTGAAGTGATTTTTCGACGACTTTTTTTAACAATTTTTCAACTTGTTATTATCTCAAAAAAGATTAAATCTTAGATAAATAACATATAGTTTCATCAATTTAGACTTTCCATCAGTTATCTCTCTTTTAAATTTAAAAGTAAAAATAAACCGCTGAACTAAATTGCAATTATTAACTAGTAATTTTTAATGAAAAAAAATTGCTCAAAAATCCCTGTTTAAGAGTGTTATTTGCTTCTATATGTTTAAAAGTATTATTTGCTTCAATATGTATATCTTGAACAATATGAATTTTGATTATTTCTCTATTTTAAGAGAACATATAAATTTATTTGTTTTAAATAAACTTCTGAATTGAGTTGAACTAAATTTGATTTTCTTAACCCTAGTTTTCATATTAGTTATCTAATTTATGCAATTAGCTCTCAAATCCCTAATTTTAAATCTCTAATTGGAAAATTTACTATTTAAAACAATAAAATTTCATTATGTTCGGATAGTGAAGTACCTGATTTTCCAGCAGCTTTTTCAATTTCATAATATTAAAGACAATAAACTATCACTGTTAACAATGACCATAATGAAATCTCATAATGTATCCAAACCAAATTGTGCCATATGATTATTGGGCAATCTGAATAGTTTATATATATATAATCAAATGTTGATATTGAGCTGGTTTGGGAATTTGGCTATTTTTAGTTGATTTTTTAGTTATTTTAATTTGACTAAAAAAAGATATGTTTAGAAAATTAGTGGACTTTTTTGTGTTGTTGTTAATTTGATAGTTGTTAGAAAAAAAGTAAAATTATTATTATTTAAATTTGACATTATCTTATTAATAATTTTGACTTATTTTATCTTTATTACCTATTTTAACTAAAAAAAATCATTGCCAAAGAGCGCCATTAATGTCTCATCATCAAATGAAAAGATTTTTTTTTTTTGAACGTGGTAAAATCCATTAAGGAGAAGCCAAATGACACTTACAATGGACTCCATGCCCAAGCAGATAGAGCTTACACTAAGCAAAGGGAAAAATGAGCAAAGAGGAACACAGGTAAGGCTAAAATAACATCAAAGACATGATCAAAACAAGATCCTAACCCGTACTGCAAGGCAGAAGCCATCATAAGACATCAACACTAGGGCTAGTCAGAGATACCACAGAAGCTTTCACCCCAGAGAGGCTAAGCTACCAATAACACACCCATGGAGTCCAAACAAACAAACAAACTGAAAAAATAAAATAAAATAAAATAAAATAAAACGGAAACAGCAAACCGAAGCCATAGATCTGGAGGGTGGGAGTTATCAGATCTGGTGAAGGATGGTCGCGGCGTGGTGAAGGTGGCTGCTGTGGCGAGAGAAGGCGGAATGTGGTATAGATTTGGAGGGAGGGAGGGAGGGAGTTAGTAGATCTGGTGGAGGATGGTCGTGGCGTGGTGATGATGGCTTCTGCGGCGAGAAACAGCAAAGGGCTGTAGAACCGGCGTCGAGAAACGGCAGATCTTGCTCCGGCTAGGAGGGGGAGGAGGAGAAAACTCAAAAAATCCACCATAAGGGGAAGAAATACCTCAAAAAGAGGGAGAGATTGGGAAGAAAGAACTTCCAAAGATTATTTTGTAGAAAGTAGAAGAAAAAAGAGAGGAGAGAGAAGGGAGTTGGCCAGAGGAAGGCTGGAACCCCCCTCTCCCTCTCAAGCAGCACACTCTGAAAAAACCTTAAGAGAAAAAAACTTAGAGAGAGAGAAAATGGGGGAACTACTCATCAAATGAGAAGATTGAAGTCCCACAAATCTTGTTAGAAGGTTATTGGGATATTAATTTATTTTTTTTAAATATAAATTGACACTACATATTGAAAGGAGCATTGATATTGACATACGACTTGAAAATTGTAAGATTTAAGAGTAACTTCAACAGTCAATTGATAAAAAGCTAGTTAAAGTTATAATTTAGCAATGGACATTGTAAAAAAGGTTATTAAATAGCAATGTTATTCAAACGGTGAAATTGTTATTTTTTAGTTTAATTGAACAACCGATCAGATGACCAGATATATGACTGGAGGGCTTCAAAATTCTATAGCTTAACTTCCACTAAGTGGTTGATCACCAGTCATCTACCCCATTGATCGCCTATTTCTCAAAATTGTTGTGTTGGTAGTTTTAACTATAGGTAAAATTGATGTTAAATTTGACAGAAGATGTAACAAAATATAATTTAACAATTCTAATAGCTCACTATTAGATATGAAAAAAGTGAACTTTTAATGCTATTTTATAGTAATAGAAGTTTCAATACCTCACCAGTTGCTCTAAGATCTAATTTGAAATTGGATAAAGTTTTCAATTTTTTTAATAAATAATAATAATTTTTTTGACTTTATACGCAATCATGTTAGAATTATCAAATATTTTGTACAAAAAATATAGGCTTTTTTTGGAGACGAGGTTAAAAATAGCTTTTTAGCTTTTAGCTTTTAACTTTTAAGTTTTTAACTTTTTTTTAGTTGCATAATTTTTTAATTTTTTTACATGTTTTTCTAAAAAAATAAAAAAATAAAAAAATTAGCTTTTAACCTATTTCACAAAACAACTTATAATTGGCCTTATTTGAGAATATGGTTAAAAGCCAATTTTTAACTTTTTAACATATTTTGAGTCACATAACTTCTCTACATTTTTTTTACACAATTAAAAAAAAAAAAAAATTAACTACCTTATCAAAATAATCCATTGATTACATCAATGCAGTGACAATATATCAAATACTAATATTGCAATGATGACATATCAAATGCTAATAATAAATTTAATGATTACAATATTACTCAATTATCTAAAAAAAAAAAGTTTATATTATAATTTTTTAGTTATAACAAAATCCCATAATACTTTCTGAACTTTTATTTGATAGGTTCTGAACTTTTCAAAAAATACTTTTCAAAAAATTATATTTTTTTATTTTTCGTATTTTTTTGTTTTTACTGAATTTTTTTAATATTTTAAGCAATTTTTTTACTTTTTAGACAGACCTAACATAAATACGCCTAAAAAGTAAAAAAATATTTTAAAAATTCACTAAATACCAAAAATACAAAAAAATACAAGAATTCAATACATTTTTTGTATTTTTATGTATTTATTAATTTTTTAAAATATTTTTTCATAAATTTTTTACTTTTTAGATACATCTAAGTAAGGTGCATCTAAAAAAGTAAAAAAATATTTAAAATTAAAAAAATATTCACTAAAAATAAAAAACACGAAAATCAAAAAAATCAATTTTCAAAAAATTTAATCCAGAAAACTCAAACCAAACACACTGATATTGCAATGATGACATATCAAATACTAATAATAAATTTAATGATTACAATATTACTCAATTATCTAAAAAAAAGTTTATATTATAATTTTTAATCACATCAATTTTTATAATCATATCAAATACTAATAATAAATTTAAGTTTTAACTTCTAATTTTTTTTAATCACATCAATTTTTAATTTTTTTACACATTTTTTTTTAAAAAGTCAAAAAAATTAAAAAATTAACTTTTAACCTATTCACAAAACAACTCATAATTGGCTTAATTTGGAAATATGGTTAAAAGTTAATTTTTGACTTTTAAACTATTTTGAATCACATAACTTCTCTATTTTTTTTTTTTACACAATTAAAAAAGAAAAGTTAAAAAATTAACTAACTTTTCAAAATAATCCATTGATTACATCAATGCAATGATAATATATCAAATACTAATAATAAATTTAATGATTACAATATTACTCAATTATCTTAAAAAAAAGGTTTATTTTATAATTTTTTAGTTGTAACAAAATCCCATAATATTTTCTGAACTTTTATTTGATACGTTTAAAAACTTCAAAAAGTCTAAGGGTGCCGAATAATAATAATATTGCAATGATGACATATCAAATGCTAATAATAAATTTAATGATTACACTATTACTCAATTATCTAAAAAAAAAATTTATATTATAATTTTTTAGTTATAACAAAATCCCATAATATTTTCTAAACTTTTATTTGATACATTTAAAAACTTCAAAAAGTCTACCATCAAGGGAAAGGGTGTTGGAGGTTGAACTCCCAACCTCATGAGTTAATGGTCTAGCTTACGACCCTAACATTAGAAAAAAAACAAAAATTTGCTTAGCTTATGACATTTTCAAACCAATCATATTATTGTCCCCATATTTTATTATTCATTTTCCTTAATTTTTATTTTTATTTTCCCCAAAACTCTGAAGCTTTGCTTTCCATTAGAACCCAAAAGTGCACAAACTGAAGGCTATTCAAAAAGGGGACACATAAGAGAGAGAGAGAGAGAGAGAGAGAGCGAGCTTGTTTCTATGCCCAAAGACTCCAACTTTATATGAAAAAACCTGAGAGAGAGAAAAGAGTGTGCAAGGCCTATATGTATGTATAAATACATATATGATGTTGCTAAAAAAACCCTAATCTAAGAGAGTGTGAGAGAGAGAGAGAGAGACAACGACAGAAGAGGCTTTGAATATAGAATTATTACAATTATGGAGTCTCTGAGGCTATTCAGTTCAGGGAATCAATGAAAACCCTAATTTGGAATCTGGAACCGAGGCAGAGTTGTCGATGCATGTCTCCGGATTTCCTCTCGATCTCAATTGGTTCCTTCAATTCATCGTCACAGCATTCATTATTGCCTTCGGATTGCTTCACCTGGTCAAGAACACCGCATCCAAATACTTCATGGTCGACGCCAATTTCGACTCCCCCGACCCTTCTTCATCACCGCCGCCTCTAGGAAGAGGAGGAGGAGAAGGCCGCAAGATGCCCAGAGTTTCCGCCACCGCCGCCGATTCCTGTGTCGTTTGCGGCAATTCGACCACGAAACAGTGCTCTGGATGCAAATTGGTCCGATACTGGTATGCATTAATTTTAAAAAAATTATTAACATTCTATATGTTTGTTTTCTTTATTCAATTTGTCATAATTTTAACTAGTTTGTATTTGTATATAAATTTCTGAAATTTGAATTATTGAATTGCTCCATTTCTTGATTGCTTCTTGATGCGTAATGCTTTCAGTCTTTCGGATGGTTAAGCGGTTTTCAACAGTATATTTCTTAATTACTTAAATAGAAGAGTAAAGATATGGGAAATAGGTGCAAGTTGGTATTTCTAGCAGTTTGCATGTTTATAGCAGTGTACTTGTACCTTACATACTTTATATGCAACCCGAAATGGAAGCCGCAATTTTCGGGGGGTTGAGTATGGTTGCCAAATGGGGTTTAGTAGGAACTACTTTATAGAGCAGTTTTTGAGTAGTCATTGGCTGTTAGGAATTCTGCATAAACTGCAAATTAATTCATAAAAGAAAGAGGTCAGTCAGTACTAATCTTAAATTTGAGTGGAGGGGGGAAGTAGTAGATTTCAATGGCAAGAAAGATATATGCTCTCATAATCAAATAGTTAAAAAAAAAAATAAAAATTTGAGCCACTGAGAGGCAATATAATTTTATTGGATCTCCAAGAATGCTAGCATTCAAACTTTGGTTGGTCCATTTTCTTACATATGTTATAACTTATATGTATTATATGTTAGTATATATTTGTATATAGTATATAATTTGCCTAATAATAATAATGTGGTTAGACTAGGCCTGAAGGACTTTTTCGAAGCCCGGCCTAGTTAATAAACAAGTTTGAAAATTTAACCTAGCCTGGCCTTGGGGCTGAAATATAAATCCCAAGCCTAGGTTGGGCTGGCCACTGTGCTAGTGCCTAATCCTAGTGTTGCATTCGTGTCCATGCTTCTTATGCTTTCGAATTAGGTTTAAGCTTGGGCTTGTTTTTATAGGAATGAGTTTGTCCAACCTTAATAACAAGTTGAACATGAGTTATTCATGTCTTCATGAGTAGTTCAATTTGTTTGCACTTCAAATGATTTGAGCTAATCCGAGTTGAGTGTCATGAGTGTTGGTGTTAGTGTCAGTGTTAGGAGTTAGGACTAGCATTAAGGTGACAATTTCATGACTTGTGTGTGCAACCTTTGGTAGAACCCGAGGATTGGTATGGGGAATTTCATTGAGATGAAGGTTTTGGGTAAGGATAGGACCAAATTAGGACAAGCCAGACTGCATAAGCCAAGGTGTGTCAGTTTGGTTGATTATGATATGGAGCATGGTTGATCATAGGTAGATTTAAAGAGCAGTTCCAAGAAGTCTATAGTATGGTTGACCATCTTGACAGATGTGGTCGATCGTCCTTGTGTGGATGTGGTCGACCATGATGGCTAGTGATTGACCATGACATCGTATGGTCAATCGTGCATGGGGAAAATTTAAAAATATAGCCATTATAAATTGGGGCTATAAATACCAAGTGCCCCATTTGGTAAGATCTGATGAGAAAAAGCTCTTGGAGTGTGCATGCACTCTTGATATTAACTAGATCACATCTCAAAGAGGTTTGCACCCTTGTGTGAGTAAGAGTGAACATGTGGTACCTTTTTGCAAACTTGGTTGGAGGACTTACTCCTTTGGAGCCTTGGAGTTCTCACTTTGAAGGTCTCCTCTCATAGCTATATTTAATTGTGTACACTAATCTCATCACTCAGTGTTTTAAAAGGCTCTAGGTGCACCGAGGCGATAAGGTCTTCTATAGCCTAAGTGCGAGGCGCGCGCCTCACCAAAGCGAGGTACACGTAGTAAAAGCAAAGTAAAATTATAAAATAGACAAACTTTTTAACATAACAAATATATGTAGTATATTAAAAATATAATATCCAACAAAAGGTATAAAGTATCACATTCACATCCACTGAAAACCTTATGTACTAAGATCATCCTTATAAAATTAATAAACACATTTCATTAAAATTAATAAAAAAAATTATTCTTATAAACTAATCAGCAATATATATATGTATATATTAAATAAATATGGCAGAAAAGCCAAAAAAAAAAAAAAGAAAAAAAAAAAAAATAAAATAGAAGGGGAGGGGGGGCAGTTAGAATCAACCAGCATAAAAGAAAAGAAAAAAGAAAGAAAGAAAGAAAAGTCAAAGAGAGGATAGGACAGAATAGAAGAAAAAGAGAGAGTGACTGAGAGACAGAGGAAAGAAGAAGAAGATCGAAGAAGATCGAAAGAAGAAGAAGAGAATTGAGCACTGACCATCGAGCAGCAACCGGCAATCAGCAAGCAGAGAGCAACGAGCAGCAAGCAAGCAGAGACTAGCGAAAGCAACGAGAGGAAGAAACGCGAAGCCCATAAGGTGCTCGCCTCGAGCCTCAACATAAAGCGCTCACCTCATCGCCTCAACTGCGCCTCCTCTATGTTGCCTCGCCTAGCCATGCATAAGGCGCAGAGTTGCGCCTCGCCTCCCCTTGCCTTGAGCTTAGGCGCGCTTTTCAAAACACTGTCATCACTCACCTACACTTTTAACTTTTTAAGTCTTACATAGAAATAATAAGGAGCTATCAGTAAGCTATCTTATTCAACTGACTCTAAGATTTTGTTTTGGTCGTTGTTGACTTTGTGTTGAGCCAAGAAAATTATATTTCTTTGTATTTGTGATTTTGTATGCTGTATAGGTTTTAGGTGATTGTAGGATTTTTATTTTTATTTTTATTTATTATTATTATTATTATTTTTTTGTGTGTGTTGTATTGGTTTTAGGTGAATTTAGGGAAAATCCATTTGGTATAGTAAATAATGTTGGCAAGTGAATCCTGGAGTGGATGTAGGTGCAAGGGTGTGCCTAACCCCTATAAATCTTTTTGTTCATTTGTTTACATTATTTGCACATTGTCTGGTTTGAATGTGTGAGATGAATGCTTGGTTTAAATTGATCCATCTTTAATTAATGATTATTTGTAGATTATCAATTAAGAAATTTACTTGAATGTGGTTGTTTTGTTTGAAAGACTTAGTATGTGATTGGAAAGGAAATCAATGAAACATCTTCATCTCGAAGTACTTGGCTTAAGTGTTTAAAGTTAGTAACCCTATTGGGGACAACACATGCAATATACCAAAATGATCCACAATGCTTAAACTGGGTGTCAAGGGAAATATTAGATTTTTCCTATTCATCCCCTCTCTATCACTGAACTCAGGCTAAGATTTTCAAACTTCCATACTAGGCTTGAGCTTGACTTGGGGCTTCAGCTTGAGGTAAGCTCTACCCTCACCTTCAAGAGTCAGATTGGCTACTTATTGAGCAGCTCAGCTGGTTAATTTGAAAACCTAGATTTATCATTGTGTCCCAATCCAGTTGGCTTCTTTCAAATTGAAGAGACAAGCCTTTTCATGTGGCAGGATGTCCTTAAAAGGAAACTACTGGCTTTAAATAACTGATGTTATTTGTACAACTGTCGGTGATATTTTGCCAAAGGTTTAAATTGCCTTTCTTCCTCAAACATTAAATTTTGCTTTATAAAATTTGATGAACAGTGAGAGGACAGAACCATTCTCGATAACTGTTTACTATTGAAGTAATAGTATGGATTTGATATTGGATTAGATGAACTTATCAAAAAAAGAAAAAAAAAACGCTTAGAAGTTTTAGGTTGGTCAGCAATCATCTGTAACTAGTCTGAATAAGGACCTTAATCATTTTGATCCTTCTGGGTAGACATTTCTTTTTTATGTGGACCTTTTTTTGTTCCTTCGTTAACACACCCTGAGAAGTGACTCCCACGGAAGAAATTTCAGTGTGTGTCTTGCTTTTGTTTTTTTGTTCAGGAGGTAATTGCTATAAGCTTATTTGGCAGCACTTTCTGTTTTTATTTATTCCTCTTTAAGTTTCCTGTATTATTTTCTGTTCTTGGCATTAACCTCAGGATCTTTTGTAATTAACCTATGGTTTTATGTATTGCTGCTTCGTCTTAATTCCCACTTCTTTGTCATAAGAGTTTGATCTTGTCTTCTTGCTTTCTTGCACGTGACTTGTTGCTAGGTTTGCCTTTATATATTTCATATGAGTTTTTAATGTTTTAAATCTTTCTTCCTTTATCCCAGCTCCGGAGCTTGCCAAACTTCCCATTGGAAATCTGGGCATAAGACAAAATGCAAGGACTTTCAATTGTCTGGGCAGGTAAAATCAATGCAGTCTGCATATATGCAACATGGACGGAGAGATTCTAGTGCAGTTGCACTGGTTCCTTCCAGTGGAACCATTAATATTATCAAACAGTCAAAAGAGGTAAATAATTTCCTTTTTATTGATCTTTATATTCATATATTTTAGTATGCCTTTTGGTTGGGAAGGACACCAGTAATGTGCAGTAACATTTCAGATTCTTTTCCCCTATGAGGATTTTGTGGAACTATTTAATTGGGACAAGCGAGGATTTCCTCCATGTGGGCTTCTTAATTGTGGAAACAGGTTTGTGTTTACCATTCCATTATTTGTTCTAAACTTATTGTTCAGATGGTTTCACTGGCTTGAGAGCTTCAATTGCATAAAGTGCACATGCTTAAGTATCCAGTTTTAACTCACAATGTGCTATATTGTTATTGTATTTGTGCAGCTGCTTTGCTAATGTGGTTCTACAATGTCTTGTGTACACTCGGCCCCTTGTTGCCTACTTGTTGGAGAAAGGCCATCGGAAAGAATGTAAATGCAGACCAGAACTTTTTGTGGCCTATATTTTATGGATGATCAAACAATTTCTCACTCTTTTGTTTGTTGTTTCTTGTTGCTCAGGCAGACGGAATGATTGGTGCTTCCTTTGTGAATTTCAAACCCACGTTGAAAGATCCAGTGAAAGTCGGCATCCCTTTTCACCAATTAATATTCTCTCGCGGTTACCTAATATTGGTGGTGACCTTGGCTATGGAAAACAAGAGGATGCGCATGAGTTCATGAGGTCCTATTACTTGCTTTACTCCTAGTTTAACGTAGTTTGTCTTTATCTATAAAGAAAACTTTATCATGAACCCTCGTGTATTTGATGGCCAATGTTGGTTTAATATGATAAAGTTTTACTGATTTCAGTAACAAATTTTAGACGTTTCATTTTGATTTAGGCTCCATTTGTTTCAATGTAAAATATTTTCACAAAAAAATATTTTTCTTGTAAATTGATTTTACGGAGAAAAAATATTTTTCTTTTTGGTTTCGGCGTTTGGTTGACACTTGAAACAAAAACATTTTAGTGCCTAAAAGAGAAATTTTGATCCAATAAAGTGTCATTTATGATTTTTTAGTGAGCTAAGATATTTATTTGAATAGGCTAAACATGTCGAAAAGGTAGTGAGTGAGAGTTAACTTTGTAAAACTTGACTTGCGAAATTTTTAAAGGTAAGTCATTTTTGAGAAAATGATGGAAAAATATTTTCCTTCAAAAATATTTTACTTGTTTTTTGTTCAACTGAACAACGGAAAATGAGTTAAATTTTTTAGACAAAAACATTTTACGTCAAAACAAATGGAGCCTTAAGTTCATTCATTTTGCAGGTTTGCTATCGATACTATGCAATCAGTGTGCCTAGATGAATTTGGCGGAGAGAAGGCCCTTCATCCTAGCACTCAAGAAACAACCCTTATTCAACATATATTTGGGGGTCATCTCCAATCTCAGGTAGCTTGCAATTACACTGAGGTTTTGATATTAATCTGTGAAATGCACCGTTATAGATTCTGACATTCTGTTGACTTGCAAGTATCTAGGATCTACCCATTCTTGTTTCTACGTTGGTTGAGCATGCAGGTGGTAGATTCTTGACATAATTATTTTATGATTCCAGCATATCCATCATGATAATGTCATTACCTTTTTCTTACAGTCATATGTGGCTTTGTTGTCCCTTGACTTTGTAAGGAATTATTTTCTGCATCATTGATTAAAGTTTATCTGGCAATTCCTGGTGTCAAATAACAGCTGAATGGGCTTTAAAAACTTTGAATGTGCTGCACAGTTATAAATAGAATGTTAGTTGAAATAAATCAATAAAACTATGAGGGAAAAGAATTTTAATTGCTTACTGGAAGTTGGTGTAGTTGTTCAGATCATAACTGGGCATAAGGCAAGCCTCGAGGAGTGACAGTTCACTTCGTGGCTGTGCCTCAAATGTTATAACCCGTCACACTTAGACTTGAAGTGAATTTGTTGTTTTATAGGTGGTGTTTGGCAAGTTTTGGGTTTGGGTTTTTTTTTATTTTTTTCACTAAATGACAAAATTTTTGTAAAACCAAAAAAAACAAATCCAAACAAAATATCATATCCAACCCCATAATCATTTCACTCTCTCACAAACATCACATCCAACCACAAAAAAACCCAACTATCTTCCCAAACACCAAAAAATTTTTATCCAATAATATCCTACAATTAAAAAAATCTACTTAAAAACCCACTTCCCAAACACCCACATAACGTTGTGTGCCCTATAGTTTTTGCATCTAGCTATAACCATTTTTCTTTGATTCTGTCCTGAATGTGTTAATTCTTTTTTTTCTCTCTCTTATTTCCCAGGTGATTTGTTCAAAATGCAATAATGTTTCAAATCAGTATGAAAATATGATGGATCTAACTGTTGAAATTCAAGGGGATGCCACATCTTTAGAGGAATGCTTGGACCTATTCACTGTCAGAGAGCGGCTTCACGGAGATAATATGTATAAATGTGATGGGTAAGGGTTGTTCTTGTTTTCATGTCAAACATAGAGATACATTGCCTTGTTGTGTGTTTTTTTTTTTGTAGGCTACCACTGGTATGCTATATTTATTCTAGTACGGATATGTGAAAAATGTATTGGGACCCATAACTATTTTGGCATGATCTCCACCTTAATGACAGCTCATAGGGCTCTCGTTAGCGTGGCCTTTTATTTTTTTATTTTATTTTATTTTTTATATATGGTACATCAGGACACAATAGTTCTATTTGTCTTTGAATTTGAATCTTTACTGATGCCAACTCTTTTGCCTAGTGAAGAAGGACCAATTCAATGATATCCCATTGTGGGGGTTTGATTTTTCCACTAATGTAGTAATAATTATTAATATAAATGATTACTTGTAAACATATTGCCGCAAATGTTCTGCTGTAAACACCACTGAATCAATGGTATTAAGATCATAATATGCCAATCTCTTTGCAGATGCAATGAGTATGTCATGGCATGGAAGCGTCTTACTGTTCGAAGGGCCCCAAACATTCTTACAATTGCTTTAAAGAGGTTTCAGGTTTGTGATAAGTTTTTCTTTCCTTCACTTTTGGTATATATATATATATTAGTAGTCTTTCCTCTTTTCCTCCTCCCTCCTTGGGGTATATCTTCAACAATTTTCAAGGGAGAACCACTATTTCCACACCTTTTTGGTGGCACTGCACCAACTCACACGTTGGGCCCACCTAGTGAGGTTCTTGTGGAAGCAGCCAATACTTAGGTTGTGGAAATAGCATAGCATAGTAGTCATTAATTTGCCATCTGATTAAATTTTGACCTACATCTTGAATTGGTGATTAGTCCATGGCAGAATTTTAGTTTTGGTTTTGTGAATTAAATGCTTGAAGAAGTTTGAAATTTTTATTATTCTGTTTGATAAGTTCTAATTTATGCACATATTTGTTGCAGAGCGGGAGGTTTGGGAAACTTAACAAGAGGGTGACTTTCCCTGAGACTTTAGATCTTAGCCCTTACATGAGTGAAGTAGGAGATGGTAACGATGTTTACAAGCTATATGCAGTGGTTGTCCATGTTGACATGCTAAATGCATCGTTTTTCGGCCATTACATTTGTTATACAAAGGATTTTTGTGGAAAATGGTACAGGATTGATGACTGCAAGGTAGAAATAGCTATCTCTCTCTCTCTGTGTGTACCCAGGGACCCAAAAAGAAAAAAGAAAGTGGGGAAAATGGACCAGTACCACATGTACAGATGAGCATGTGTCCCATATGTGAATATATTTCTGTCCAGTTACTCCATGTTAAACTCTCTCTCTCTATATATATATGTGTGTGTGTGTGTGTGTGTGTGTTGACATCCATTCGCCAAGGCATCTATCTGATAACACCTAGTGTAAGACTTGGTGATCTCACTTCTTCGAAAAAAATCCCATTGCATTTTGAGAATGTCCTCCATGGAAGCTTCCTCTCTCGTCTGTGTCACTCTCTTTGAATTTTACTGCTGGTTCATTGTCAGTGCGCCATTTAGTTTGTAAATCTCTATTCATTATGCAAAAATATGCGACATAATTGATTCTGGTCAAGACAAACATCAGTAGAAAATGCAATATTTATGTGGTCTTGTTGAAACGTGTATTGTTTTTGTTAGTCTACTTGAATTTGTAGTTTCATCTAACTTGATTCACAATTTTTTTTTCAGGTCATGAGGGTTGATTTGGAAGAGGTGCTCTCGCAGGGGGCTTATATGCTGTTGTATAGCAGGTAGCTGATCTTCTTACTTTCCCTGCTATTAGTGACTTGTCAATTTCAATATAAGAGTAATTGTCATACATTTTTTTACTCAAGGATGGCCTATCACCTAAAATTTAGTGGATACACATGTTCATGATTGACGTGGAATAATGTCTTAAAATGTGATTTGAAACATATGGGCAAGCCCTATTTTGAGGAAAAGGCTAAGTTGTAACAACCTCTAACCCTACATCTCCTTGATGAGGAAGAAGTAGATGAGGAGCAGACCTATCACCAATGGTGAAAGACAGCTCATTGCTTTCTCCTTTGAGCCTTATGGCTTCTCTCATTCATTAATGAAATTGTGTTAATCCTAATACAAGTTAAAATACTTTCTTATTTAGTCATTACTTTCTTATGTCTTTCTTTTTTCTCCTGTTAAGTAAACTACTTTCTTATGTCTTAAAACTCCGTCACATGCTATTTAATATGACCCTCATCCTAGTATTACTGTATGATTTTTTTTTTTCTTGATCATTATCTTAAACATATCATTTAAAAAGATTACATTCATTGCATATTCAACCTTTTTTTAGTGACTTCTTTGACAACAAAACTTGCCAAAATTTGATTTGAATTATAGGCAATATTATAAATAAGGCTTCTTGAAAACAGCACGATACTCATTTTTTATTTTATCCATTTATATGTGCGATCCTTTCCTGTAACTTGACTTTTGAAGCTTCTTCAAATCTCTCCACTTTTGGGGAGATTCAAAAAGTAGGTTATAAGGGGTTATCTTTTCTTTTCTCTCCAAATCATCCCATACAAATAGACTGTTATTAGTACTACAAAGCTTGTTGCCTTAAAAAGACTTGGTTGATTTTCTGGTTAGGGAGAATCATATGTGAAATTCATTCAATGATTCGGCACTTCATAGCATCTATTTGAAAACTCTGACAACAAAACCCTATATTTAACACTTGCACACTAAGCACACTCTTAAGGGGCTAATATGCCGATTAAATTGGGGTTGTTTCTGTAATTGGATTCTAGTTATGATAATGGACTGCAAAGGCTGCCCATGAATTCCTGCTAGAGCCTGGAGGAGATCAACCACTGGACCGTCCACTCCGGCTAAAAGTTATTGCAATGACCCCAAGATATTGAAAATTGTTACAACATATTTTTAAGCCCACAAAAGCATGAGGCCTCTCACAAAAATTATGCATATAGTCTAATTTTGGGCAATATCAATTTTGTTGAATACCTAATAATATGTATATATAAATGATCTTGTTTGCTGTTGCTTTCAGGGTTTGTGCCCGACCATCATGTCTGAAGCCAATTGAATCTTTAACTAAGGGGAAGCAGCAAACAGTTCAAGAAGGGGAGCCCCATGTCAAACAATCAGTTGAATTCCTTACTACAGCCGAGTCAATTAATGGCATATGTACTTCTGGTTCCTTGTCATCTGATAGCGACTCACAAGAAAAAGTTTCTACTTGCGAAAAGGAGAGAACTAATTCTGAAGATGTGAGAGAGGACATTGAAATGGTAGATTCTGAGTCAAGTTCATCTGTTCCACAGGATATTGAAGTACATGGCAATGGGTATTCTCATGCGATTGAAGACACCGCTTCTCCTGTTGTACATGCTAATAGATTAGTCTCTGCGGTTGGTTCTTCTCTAAGTGAGATGTTTAAGCCTGAAGCTTATTCTCAGAATTCTGAATCAGACTTTCCTCATTCTGCTGTTGATGAGAATGCAGCTGAGAGAAGTAGTGCCAAAAGGTTGACTGAATCTTCAAGTGAAAGCGCTCAGCCAATACAGAATGGTGTCTGTGAGGGGGGAAAAATTTCTCATGATGCTCCTGTTGGTAATTTAAGCTCAGGTGAACTTCTTGATGAGATCAGTCCTGTTGATTGCAACGGTGAGCAGGCAAAAATGGAGCCTGGAAAGGGCTTGCCATCATCTAGCAGTACTAAGGATGCCACAGGGAAGTTGGCTAGTAGAAATTTTTCTGAAGGAAAGTTGAAGCCTCTGTTTCCTCCAGGTTTTCTCAGAAAGCATTCTGGCAACAATTCTCCAAAGAGAGGTGGGAAAGCAAAAGCTCCTTCAGAACTAGCTGAATGTGCATCTTCTTACAATCCTAATAAAATCATTAGTGGATTTGCAAAACCTGGTTTTCTTAATCAAAATGGTGTGAGGACAAAAGATGTGGGAAAGTCTCATTCTAAGTGCAGTAGTTCTTCGTCTCCTACTTTTGAAGAACGAGTTGGGAATCACTTGGACAAGGACGTTATGGTGCTCAGTGGATCTGGTGATTTTAATCACTCCAATGGAGATTCTGGTGCTTTTGTTATTTCTGATGAGGGCATTAGCTATATTAGTGGGGATGACCAACAATTGGCAGGGAAAACCTCGAGCTACAAGGAGGAGCTCCATGAGAGTGAAACTACACCCGAAAAGATCAGAACAGATTCTGAAAGACCGGTGGAAAGTGACTTGTAATCTCAGTGAAGATGACTCAACAACTCAAATTTTGTTTGAAGCATCTACGCTATCAATGGATTTGCATTTGAGACTTAAATCTTGAAAAGTAAAATTTGACGGTCCTTGACCAAAGGGCAAAGAAACGCAAAACAGATGGTAGTAGTCCCCATACCCAAGGAAATTGTTGTTGATACGTAAATGAGGTTAGTGGCAAGGAAGGGGCAGATTGTTTCAGTGCTTAGATTGGATGGTTCAGGTAGCGGTTTTCTTAAGATTCTGGAGATGGAAATGGAAGAGCTAGAATAATGGACAATGATGATGGTTCATGGTAATAGTTTTAAGGTGCGATTCTTTTCTTCACGTGATATATTTGTTCATAATTGTTGAATCATGAATGATCATCCCATGGCCAAATGGTCGAGTTGGGAATTTCGTCCGAGGTTTCACTATTTACAAACCTTTGGATGCTCTGCTCTTGTACTATTCTTAGTTATAATAACTCCTGAAAGTGAGAAAATGCAAAGACACAAATTGTGTGTAGCTAGCTAGCTAGCTAGCGAGAGGGAAGTTTTTTTTTAAATAGAACATTGCTGAATCATAGTTTGCATTCTCATTTTAAACTTTTGCGCTTCTCTTAAATGTTTGTTACGAGGACAATCTATTGATGATTTGGGCTAAAGAGAGATGTAACAAACGATGCATGATTTAACATCCCACCAACATTAAGATTTACCCAGAACTGCTAAAAATTTCCCTTTCTCTCTTGCCATTTGTCTTTTTATCTCGATGTATATTATGTGTATATAATTTATGTATATATTTGTGCTTTAGTCTTGAGTTCGACAATGGAGAGTTACAGACTTGGGATTGCAGGGTTCATCCTTATGGGACTTGTACCCACAAAGAGAAGCAGGAGAGGAACAGAATTAAAGAGCAGTGCTATTAAATATATATATATATATATATGTATATGTGGACAGGAATGTGAGTTATAGTCGAGAAGGATTTGTTTTTTTCTTTCATTTTTATTGTGTTTTGTTCGTTTCTAATATTATTATGTTGTTTTTATAAAAATGCTAGGTACACAATTAGAACAAAAAATGTGAGGAGAATATTGCAGCATGCGCACCAAAAAATATTTTATTTATTTTATCTTCTCCAAAACTTAGTGAGACTAAATGATTATTCTTTTCCATTCTCCAGTTAATCAAAAACTACCCACTTCTATTATGATTTATGAAATAATCCCAAACGAGTCCTTGAACTGACGAAAATTCAACTCGACATCGAACCCAAAAAAAAAAAGAAAAAGAATGAAGAAAATTTAGTTACTAAAAAAGCAAGCTTGGGAAATCAACCTATGTCAACCTTCCCTGTCATTCAGAAGCCTCCAACCAAATCTTGAAGACCCATGAAAACATTTTCCGAATTCAATATGTCCTCCTTGTCGTCATCATCTTCCACCTCTATCGTAACATTGTCATGCACTGCATCCTCGTTTGAACATGAAGCTTTCTTGATGGTGGTGGATGATTTCAATCGTGTAGTGCAGGAGAGAGTATTGCGGCGGCATGGAGGAGAGTGGTGATGCTTGCCACTGTAGGACACCATGAATTTCTCTGGATCTTCCAGACTCTTCTCAACATATTTCTTTGCTTCGCACTTGTTTCCTTCACTACTACACTTGTAGTAGTTTCGCGGGTATGGCGATGTCTTGATGGGCTTTCTTCCGTATTTACGCCAGTTCCATGGATCCACCTCTGGGAGGTTTTCAACGTCCACCTCCACCACCGCTGTCCTCTGACTCCTCTTCCTCTGATACTGATACCCACATTGCTCTGGTAGTATATTTGGTTTTGCTGGTGGTGGTTGTGGATGTTTCTGATAGTGCTGTTTCTTTGTTGGTGGTGGTTGTTGGTTACTGGACTCACCAAGAACAAAAATAGACGGCGCGGTGGTCATATTACCATAGTATTATATACAACTCTCTCTCATGAGGTGAGTTCAGCCCTTTTGTGTATCTCACACCCATGTGAGATTGTTGTGTCTAGTGGTTTTTGTGCAAGTAGAAGAACTGTACTAGTGTTGATGAGTTGTGGGTTTTGTTCTGCTTTATCTTCTTTGTCCATGATATTAGGGTTGATGGGTTGTGGTTTTTGCTCGTCTTCTGGATCAATGATATTAGGGTTCATCATGGAGTGTGTTTTTGGTTTACTAGAATTGCCAAAAACATAACTGGAGGGTGTGGTGTGGATGATATTAGGGTTCATGGGTTGGGGATGTGGTAGTGGTGGTTCTTGTTTTTGGTGATTGAATCCACTAAGAACAGAACCAAAGGGTGTGGGGATTGCTATTAGGATTGATGGGTTGTGGTTGTTTTAGGTGACTCAATCCACCAAGAAGAGGGTTGATGATAGGTTGTGAGTGTGCAAAGGAAGTTCTGTAAACTTGATCTAGTTCCTCAAAACCATTGTTTCTTCTCCCAAAAGTGTTACAATTGTTGTGTTCAAAAACCATAAAAGCTGAGACAGGTATGGGGTATTCTGGTGGGGAAACATACTTGGTGGCGGTGGCAGAAGCGGATGTGGTGGCAGGAGTGTAGCAACTTCTCACCACAGCCCACAAATCCCAATTTTCATCCATTTTCAGTGATGAAGAATGCTGTGGGGATTTCCTTCAACTTCACCAAGCAATGAACCGTGTTCCTTTCCTATGATTGTATAAGGCGAGAGAGAAGAGGAGGTGGGTGAGAGGAAAACAACTCATCTAGTTTGTTTACTACTTATTTATGAAATCAAAATCTATATGGATCAATCATAGCCAAAAACAGAAAAAATCTTCATGGATTCACTCTTTCTAAAGAGAGAAAGAAAGGATTGGGGTGTTGAATTTGAATCATAGCTTACGAAAAAAATGCTATATATAAATGGATTTCTTAGTTTACTAAAATTTTCTATCACTGCTACTTTTGTATTTGGTAGTAAGAAAACAGGAATGGAACTTTCTAGTAGTATGATTTTGAGAATATATCGTTCGTTTTGTTTGAGATAAATGTGATTTAGTTAATTAATCATGATAAATTTGATTTTTTTACATAAATGATTTGTTCGATAAACTATATATAAAATGAACCGTTTGAATCGCCAAAATTGAACTTATGAGCTATTAAGGTGTATATAATATACATTAGAAGAATACTCTTCTAGAGAAAAAAATTATTACTTTATGTATTTATTTTGTTATATATGTAATGTGATTACGTTCAATATGGTTGTTATGATTGAGGTAGAAGTCTAGCTGATACTAGTGCAGTGATGATTCAGAGAATTATAGCTACCAAGTGTTTAGAAAAAACAGTATCTAAGATTTTAATTTGAAAAATTGTCTGTCATTTAAAATATATATAAAAAAAAGATTTATAACCAATTTTACGACTATGTCAATCAAAGATCCTTTCTTATTTTATGTTGTCTACAAAAAACCAATAAATAAATAAATAAATAAATAAATAAAAATTCCTTTTCCTCTTAACAAACAAATTATTTCATGACCATACTCTAAAATCTTGGAATTACCTAATTCAATCTCTTCATATACACTTCATCTATAAAAAAAATCTTTTCATATACACAGGCCATACATACCCTATCTAAAATAAAAATAAAAAAACAAGCCATACATATAAATATAATATATTTAAAATTTTCAATAATGTGGGCTTATATATATATTTTAAATAATCAGGTTTTGTTTTGCGATACTCTCATTTAGCAAATATAAATGGACTCATTATATTAATAATAAAAAATTACTCATAGATTCCATTTTAATAAGTGTTGCTCTAGTTAATTTTAAGTGTTTTTCCTTAAACCATTTAATCCTTTTTATTTTTAATATGATGGATATTTTTGATATATTATATATAACCAATGGACAACATCATCAACATCTGAATCAATCTCACCCATCTCGATTTTGAGACCCTAATTTTCTTTCACTCATTTGCCGTTGCAACCTCCTAGGAAATCTGGTTTTGCCTCGGAAGAGTGACGATGATGGTTCTCTGATGTCCGCAACCCATGATGATCCTGATTTGGTCTCCAAACTGAACGACCCTGATTGTCTATCTTGAAAGATATTTGAATTGGTAGAAAGAGGAACCATTTTGTAAAATATATTGATAGAGATAAATTGTATGTATTATTGATTGATGTATTGATTGATATATTGTAGTGTTTACATTGATTCCTATATATAGGAGATGTGAAGTGGAGATGGTGGTGGTAGGTGAGGAGTAGGTGAGTGTAGTAGGTGAGTGTGTGGTAGGTGATGGTAAGTGTGTGGTAGGTGATGGTAAATATTTTAACAGCCCCCCGCAAACTCAAGGAGGATAGAAACTAACCAACTTGAGTTTGGAGAGAGTTACAAAACAAGAAAATACATAAAAATAAAAGAGGATAGGAGACACTGTATGGTCGTGTCAGACCGTTGGTGAAGACACTGTATGGTGGTGTCATAACGTGGTAGAGGACACTGTATGGGGGTGTCATAACGTGGTAGAGGACAGTGTATGGTGGTGTCATAACGTTGTAGAGGACACTGTATGGTGGTGTCATAACGTGGTAGAGGACACTGTATGGTTGTGTCATAACGTTGTAGGGGACACTGTATGCTAACCGGAATCAATGTCGGGACAGTTTATAGGGTCATGTCGGACCGTTGGAGATGCTAACCGAAATCAAATGTCGGGACAGTTTATGGGGTCATGTCGGACCGTTGGAGATGCTAACCGGAATCAAATGTCGGGACAGTTTATAGGGTCATGTCGGACCGTTGTAGAAGACAGTTTACGGGGTCATGTCGGACCGTTGAAAAAGGCTAACCGGAATCAAATGTCGGTACAGTTTATAGGGTCATGTCGGACCGTTGAAAATGCTAACCGGAATCAAATGTCGGGACAGTTTATGGGGTCATGTCGGACCGTTGTAGCAGCTGACCGTTGAAAAAGTTGCACCCTCAAAAGGTGTGCCTAATTTTGTCAAAAGGCGTGCCATCAAAAGGCGTGCCCACTGCATCAAAAGACGAGCCATCAAAAGGCGCGCCAGACACGCGGCGATGCACGTGATCGACAGTGCGCGTGTCGGTCTCTTCGTCATGTTCTATATAAATGAAGGCGAAGGCTGAGGCAAGAAACTGAGAAAAACCTCTGAAAAAAAAACTCTTCGTTTTGCTGAGAGAGATAGTGCGTTTTGCTGAGAGAGATAGTCTGTAACACGCTGTTGCCCAGAAAATGGCCTCGTCCTCGTCTTCCCGTGGACTGCTCACCCTCTTTCCCGACCTCAACGAGTCAACAAGAGAGAGAACTGGTGCGGTGGCACTGGAATCTCGACCAAGCGCCCCGGATTTTGCTCCGTTGAACTTTCCGATGCGGTCGGTGGAGCAAAGAATGGCAGTGCAGTCAGATGTGGAGGCCAATCAGTATACCTTGAAGTCATGTGTGGAAACCATGACGGCGGTCACAAACTTGTCGAACCGGCTGCAGAGTAGGACAAATGAGGTGCAGCATTTAAACTCCCAGCTGGCTCTGCTCCAACGCATGTATAAGGATGCGCGAGCAGAGATAAGCGTGCTAAGGGCAGAAAACAAGGAGCTGAAGCGGAAGGCCACCGTGATGTTCCGATTTGGAGGTCCTCCATATGCTGCAGTGGAGGAGTATGGGGGAGTGATCATGCCCAGTGGAGTGGGAAACACGGAGGCAACACCGGCAAGGGCCGCCCAGGACGGAGGCAAGAAGAAAAGACCGGCGGCAGAGTAGAGAAGGGAAAAGAAAAATCCCACGGTGGGTGTGGTTGTTGTGGTTTGGTTTTTTTGTTTGTTTTTTTGTTTTTTTTTTTTTTTGTGGATGTAAAATGGTGATCGGGGTGAACCCCGACATGAATAAAATGAGTTTGGTGTGCAGTCCGTCTTCTTCTTTGGTTTTTTTTTTTTTTTGTTTTTTTGTTTTTTTTTTGTTTTTTTTTTGGTTGTATGGTGGTAGTGTGTTGTGTAAAAATAAAAAGAAAAGGAAAGAAAACAAGGGATAAAGAAAAGAGATAAAAAAAAAATATGAGGAGATAGAGTATATGAAAAAAAAATCAGTGTGGGAAATGAAATAAAAGAAAATAAAATAAAGAGTGAAAAAAAGCAGAGATGGGTGAATAAAAGAAAAAGAAAAAGAAATGAAAAGATCTGGGTTGAAGCAAAACAAGAAATAAAGAAATAAAAAGAAAAAGTTGGGTGTGATGGAAAGATGAGAGAGAGACGCAGGGGTTGGTGTAAGGTGTAATAGTTTATTATACCATTATAGTAGAATAAAAAAGGAGATATAGGAGATAAAAAAAAAGATAGAGATATATATATAAAAAAAAACAAAAAACAAAGGAGGTTGGTCAAAAATATTGGTTTATACCAGCACATGGTTGGTTGGGTGGGCTGGTCAAAAATATTGGGTTAAAAAAAAAGAAAAGAGAGGTGGTGGAAATAAAAAATAAAATAAAGGAGGAAAGTACATGTGGGGCGGTGGGTTGGAAATTGAAAAATGATTGAGACCCCAGCTGGGGGTGTTGGTGTCAGCTCTCATTGGACAAAAAAAACTATTTTTTTTTTTTTTTGGATTTTCGGCCAACCCCAGTGCGACACGTTACTGGGGGTCGTAAAAAAAAAAAAAGAGATAGAGATATATATATATTAAAAAAAAAAAAAACAAAAAAACAAAGGAGGTTGGTCAAAAATATTGGTTTATACCAGCACATGGTTTGTTGGGTGGGTTGGAAATTATTTAAAAAAAAAAAAGAAGAGAGAAAGTGGGGGACAAAAGTGGATGTAAATAGTAAAAGAAAAAGAAAGGAAAGAAGCAAAAGGCAGCAATGTGAGGCTGGTGTCGAGAGCTCGTGCCCGTGGCAATGATCTCTTCAAATCCGAAA